AGCAGCAGCAGCAGCGCCACCAAACAGCAGGCGTGCCTTCTTGTTTGGGTATTCCTTCCGTCGTGGCATCATCATTGCTGGTGGCTGTCGTGTTGGCGGCTTGATTGTTGTTGTGATGGTTGCAGGCGGGGTGGTGGGCAGGGTTTCAGCATTATGAATGGTGGAGATGATGTGCTGCTGCTGCTGCTGCTGCTGTGGTGGTGGCGGTGGTGGCAGCGACGGTTTGGAGGGGCTTGCTGCTGCTAGTCTACTTTCTGCTCCTACTCCTACTCCTGCTCCTGCTCCTCCGCCTCGATCTTTATCCAGCATCATCTCCTGCTCCTGCTCCTGCTCCTGCTCCTGCTCCTGCTCCTGCTCCTGCTCCTGCTCCTGCTCCTGCTCCTGCTCCTGCTCCTGCTCCTGCTCCTGCTCCTGCTCCTGCTCCTGCTCCTGCTCCTGCTCCTCCTCCACAGCAGTGCTGCTGAAAGCTCTCCACCTCTCAGCCTGAAGTTCCTCCTCCTCCTCCTCGTCGTCCTCCTCCTCCTCCTCCTCCTCCTCCTCCTCCTCTGCCACAGCCGCCCAACTGTCGAGGCGCACGTACACGTGGCCACCATTCCCTATGTTACGGGGGGCCGGTACATGGCTCCCCCTGTGCCGAACGACACCGAACGGGTTGACCTCGTACGCTGGCGCATACATGACGCGCTTAAACTGCAACAAGGACAAAAACCAGCACCAGGCATTACTTTTGTTGCGGGGGAAATGGTCGCTCTTTTTTTTTACCAGCAGAGCAGAGCAGCATTATAGTAACAATATTATTAAGTACATCTACAAAATATTCGGATTTATGGTAGTGTGCGGGCGGGTGTGCATTTTTTTATTATTTATCAATCATGTTAAAATAGTACTTCGGGCTTCAATAAAACAACACAACATCCCCCACATCATGCAAGGCGGCGGCAGCAGAGGCACAGCATATAGCGGTGGTGAGAACAGTGGGCGGCGGCGACAAAGCAGCGGCGGAGGCAGAGGCAGCAGCGGCGGTGGCGGTAACGACGGTGGCGACAGTGGCGGCTGTGATGGCAGCGGCGCGGCGGCAGAGGCAGCAGCGACAGCGGTGCCGACAGGGGTGGTGACAGCGGCAGCAGCTACAGAGGTGGTAGTGTCAGTGGCAGCGGCGACAAAGCAGCGGCGCGGAGGCAGAGGCAGCAGCGACAGCGGTGGCGACAGCGGCAGCGGCTACAGAGGTGGTGGTGATAGTGGCTGCGGCGACGGTGGCTGCAGCGACAGCAGCTGCGGCAGCAGAGGCAGCAGCGGCAGAGGCAACGGTGGCGACAGCGGCGGCGGCGGGGGTGGAAGCGGCGGTGGTGGCGACAGCGACAGCGGCAGCGGTGGTGGTGACGGCGGCGGCGACAGCGGCAGCGGTGGCAGCGGTGGCGGCGGTGACGACGGCGGCGGCACAGTGGCGGCGGCGACAAAGCAGCGGCGGCGGCAGAGGCAGCAGCGACAGCGGTGGCGACAGCGGCAGCGGCT